TCCTCATCCTCCTCCTCCTCCTCCTCCTCCTCCTTCTCTTCGTCCTCCTCATCTTCCTCCTCTTCCTCCTCCTCCTCATCCTCCTCCTCCTCCTCTTCCTCCTCCCCCTCGTTCCTCCTCCTCCTCATCTTCCTCCTCTGGTTCCTCCTCCTCCTCCTCCTCCCCCTCCTCTTCCGCCTCCGCTTCCTCCTCCTCCTTCTCCTCCTCCTTCTCCTCCCCCTCCTCTTCCTCCTCCTCCTCGTCCTCCTCCTCCTCCTCGTCCTTCCTCCTCGGGGCGGGATGCGTGTTTCCACGCTCGAACTCTGGGGGCCCTTGCAGGCCTTAGGGGCCGTCAAGAACGACTCGGGGGAAAAGAACGGTTCCTGGAGAAGGGGCCCCGATCGTTGGGGGGCTTGTCATGAAAAAATCATGGGCCCGCCGCCCCCCACGTCGTCGTCGCTGGCACGCTCGCCGTCGTCGCCATCGCCCTCCCCGCACCCGACGTCGTCATCACAATCACGCTCTCTGCGGTCGCCCTCGCCCTTGTCGTCGGCGGCCGCCGCTCGGCAGATGTTTAGGGGGGGGGCGGGGGGAGGGGACGACACTCTGGGAGGCAATTGGCCTTCAGTGCGGCGGGGGGGTCTGCCTTTGGAGCCGCGAGGGCCCTAGTTGCAAGCGTAATACTCCTCGTCCTGAGTTTCCTGCTCTCGCGCCTGGTCCTCCAGTTCCTGCACCTGCTCGTGATCCCGTTTCTCCTCCTCTTTTCTCTCTCTCTCTCTCTCTCTCTCTCTCTTTTTCTCTCTCTCTCTCTCTCTCTCTCTCGAATGCAAGGTCAGCATGCGCAAGGCGGAGCAGGAGGAGGAGGAGGAGAAAGGGAGGAGGAGGAGGAGGAGGAGGGGGAGGAGGAGGAGAAGGAGGAAGAGGAGGAGGTGCAAGAGTCATCAACGATGTTGGAAGTAACCCTCCCTCCAAGCTCCCTCTTCACAGGCCCCTACAACGGTTCATTTCCATTGAGAGAATTGCCTCGTTGGAAGAGAACCGTTTGAAGATCCTGAAACACACCAAAACATTAATATTTGGATGTTAGCGCCACGGATCAACTTGACTGCTGCGTCTTGACGATCCGGCATCGCACCAGGACGTCATTCTTGGGACTTCAACACCCCGAATTACCATGACTGTTGCACCCGGATAATCCTGAATCCTTCCAGGACACAAATTCTGGTACGTTGATCATGGGAATATATGAAATTATTGCCAATGTGCGGCGCTGAGACGAGAGCCACAGTTTGAAAAGGAGCCACCCTCAATCCGTGAAACGCTTGCCATGTTTTAAAACGAATGTGCGCGGCGCTAAGGCGAGAGCCACATTTCGAAAACCACCCGCCCTCGATCCATGAAACTCTCGGTGCTAAGGCGAGAGCCACATTTTGAAAACGACCCGCACTCAATCCGTGACACTCTTGAAAAGTTGAAAACAAATGTGCACGGCGCTGAGGGGAGAGCCACATGTTGAAAACCACCCGCCCTCCATCTGTGAAATTCCTTGCAAAGTTTGAAAACAAATGCGCGCGGCGCTGAGGCGAGAGTCACATTTTGAAAACCACCCGCCCTTAATCCGTGAAACGCTTGCAACAAATGTTGAAAACGAATGTGCGCGGTGCCACAATTTGAAAACCACCTGCCCTCCATCTGTGAAATTGTTGTCAACGTTGCAGCCTCAGCCATAGATGGTAAGGAAGCCTCAGGCGAAACGCCCAGCCCGCCCTAAAAACTGGCCTCGGGGTGCGTCAGGGAGACGTTGCTTTTAAGGAAAAGGATTGAGAGGAGGAGGAGGAGGAGGAGGAGGAGGAGGACCGCCACCACCGCGGCGGCGCCGTCCATCCGAGGCTGGCCTGGCGAGGCACAGGCGCGGCCAGCCGGTCAGCAGCACCTCACCGTCAAGATCCCCAGCCAGCGGCAGCTGCAGGCCCAGAGGGGGAGGACGAGGAGGAGGAGCTGATCAGCCAGCGGGGGGGATCCCCAGCCAACGAGGGGGAGGACGACGAGGGGGATCCCCAGCCAGCGGGAGAGCACTCCTCTCCACTTCCAGAAGCGCTGCGTTAAACGACCACCACCTGGTGTGCCTGCCATTCAGGCGAGTGCCCCGCTTTTGATCAGGGACTAAGCAGTAACAAGAAGCGCGCAAGGGCGTGATCGTAAAGTTCAGAGGGCCGTCCTGCGAGGCTGCAGTTTTGAAGAGGACCAGCCCAACTTGCGTACTCCAGATCTCGTAATAAAAGGGAGGGGGTCTGGACCCTCCAAGACAAGGCATTTCAGACCTCCCCCGTGGGAGAACCCGCCAAAACATCGTCCCCAGACCCCCCAGGCCCTCCAAGATAGCCTGGAAGAGACCCCCCCCCGAAATGAGACCCCATCCCCTGTATTACGAAATCTGGGGTAGCTATTGTACGGGCGATCGCCTCTAACCACGAGCGTCGAAGACGCATCCGGCGCCCACAGTGTCAACAAGCAGCTGGTCTACAGTGAGGCAGTTGCTGCATACGGTCGGGCTTCTGAGTACAGATGTGCAGGAATCTCCAGCGAACGCCCGATGCGGAGAGCCGCCCGTCATCCATGCAGCTGTTGCACATGTGCTCAAGCTTCTGGAAGTCAAAAGGTGTCCAGCGAGAACCCCGTTCCGAAAAGGGAGCGCCCACAGTGCCTGCAGCTGTCAGGCAGCTGCCTGCAAGCTCGTGACGTGCTGCCTGCAAGCTCGTGACGGCTGGACCTAAACGGTGTTTTTTGTGATTTCGTGGGCCGTTTTCGTTTCGACTTCGTTTTGCGGTAAAGTCGGATCCGAGACAAAAGCGAAGGAAAACGAAAACAAGCCGAGAACGAAAAACACCGTTTAGGTTCAGCCCTGTGCTAAAACGACCGTGCGCGGCGCTGGGGTAAGAGCTCCATTTTGAAAACGACTCCCCAATCAATCCGTGAAGCTGCTGCAGACGGTGAACAAGAGTGTGTGTGTGTGTGTGCAGCCCTACGGAGAGAAGGGGAGCTCCATTCTGAAGACGACCCCCTCTCCATCGGTGGAATTGCTTCAGACTTCAAGCTGGCTTTGTGCCAAAATTCAAGTTTCAGAATACTAGATGAGGAAGAAATTCCATGCGAAAGGTCCAGCCGCCCTACTGACACGTCTGAGGGTGCGGCAAGGAGGACTTAGTTCTAAGAAATAGGGATGGGGGAGGAGGAGGAGGAGGAGGAGGAGGAGGAGGAAGAGGAGGAGGAGGAGGAGGAGGAGGAGGAGAGAAGAAGAAGGAGGCAGGAGGGGTGGCGGGAGGGGGCGGAGGAAGGCGGGAGGGGGGGGAGGGGGAGGAGGAGGAGGAGGAGGAGGAGGAGGAGGAGGAGGAGGAGGAGGAGGCGGAGGCGGAAGAGGAGGAGGAGGAGGAGGAGGAGGTGGCGGAGGCGGAAGAGAAGGAGGAGGATGAGGAGGAGGAGGAGGAGGAGGAGCTGGCAGGGGGAGGAGGGGAGGAGGCAGGGGCATGATGCGGGAGGAGACGGGAGAGAGGGGAAGGGGGGCGGCCGGGGAGGAGGCGGAGAGGGAGGACGGGGAAGGCGAAAGGGGCGGGCTCCCCCTGGGCTCGGGGGCCCCAGGGTCGCGGGGGGGGGCGGGGCGCGAGGGGGGTGGCGAGGAGGGCAAGGTCGAGGAGCAGGCAGGAGGAGACCGGAGGCGGAAGAGGAGGCAGGGGAGGGAAGGGGGGCGAACGACGCCCGCCAAGGGGCTGCCCTGTCCGCACACGTGGCCGCCTGAGGCGACTGGCTCGGGCGGCCTTGCTCGTCGAGTGGCGCGGGCAGAGCTCAAGGCAGCCCCATGGAGGGCCAGTGGGGTTGCTTGGCATGCCGTATGGGAGGGGAGGGCGAGGAGGAAGGAGCGGGAGGAGGAAGGAGTGGGAGAAGGAGGAGGAGGAGGAGGAGGAGGAGGAACAGATGGAAGACGAAGATGAAGAGGAGGAGGATAAAGACGAGAAGCTGGAGGACTATGGACTATGGATTGGCCTTCGGAGGGAAAGAGATATGGAAACATACAAGAGGAAATGACGAGGATCGACGACGACGGGGCAACGACGACAAGGGCCTCGACGGCGGGAACGACGGAGAGGATAAGGAGGAGCAGAAGGAACGATAACGCACAGGGAAATGCCAGGAGGCGGAGATCGAGTTCAACTCCTGCCGCTGATCCTAATCTTCATTGCAATAACCCTGCTCCCTCCCGTCCCCCTTGCCCGTGCAGCATAATTGGCGATATAGGTGTGTATACACACGTCGGTGTGTATATATATATATATATATGGTCCAGGGCTTTGCCCCCCCCCAATGCCAATGCCATCGGGCCCCCCCCCCCCGCGCGATGCCCCCCCCCCCTGTGGGCGTGGCGTTGTGGCCCTCCCCCTGTGGGGGTGGTGGCCCCCCTGTGGACGACGACGACGACGACGACGACGACGACGACGACGACGACGACGACGGCGGCGGCGGCGGCGGCGGCGGCGACGACGACGCTCTCCGAGAAAATCCATCATCGTCGGCGTCTTCGCCATCGTCGTCGTCCTCTGCTTCCGGAGAGTGGCGGATACATGGGGAGAGGAAGTGGGAGGGGGGAGCAAGGTAGGGAAGAGAAGGCCAGGGAACGAGGAGGGGGGAAGGGGAGGCGGACGGAGGGAGGAGGAGAAGGAGGAGGAGGAGCATCGTCGTCGACGGTGTCTTCCCCGTCGTCGCCTCCCTCTGGGTGTGGCGTGGTGCTGCAGTGCTTCAGGGAGCCGAAGCGGGCGTCTTCGTCGTCGCCGCCGCCGCCGCCGCCGCCGCCGTCGTCGTCGTCGTCGTCGTCGTCGTCGTCGTCGTCGTCGTTCCGTAGTCGCCCGCACGCGACCAGCCCCATCCCCTCTCGGGGGGGCCCGAGGAAATCTTGGGAACCATGCCATCTGGGGTGGGTGCGGGGGCCGTGGGCCCGAGCCCGGGAATCATAAATGATTGTATGTGTATTTCACTCCACTCATCCTCCTCCTCCTCCTCCTCCTCCTCCTCCTCCTCCTCCACCTCCTCCTCCTCCCTCACTCCTCCTCCTCCTCCTCCTCCTCCTCCTCCTCATCTCTCCCCGATTGTCTGATTCCGCCTCATCTTCTTCTCTCCTTGCCTCCTCCTCTCCCAATCTCCAACCCACCCACCCCCATCCCTTCCAGCAACCTCACCCCATGCACGCACCCACCGATCCCCAACCCACCAGCCCAACCCCACATCGCCACCCATCCTCTCCTTTCACACACATCCCCGATTCATCCCGCCATGTTCTCCCACCCACGCATCTCCTCCCTTCTCCTCATCTACCAGTGATTCCCTCTCGTTGCTTGCCCTCTCTCCTCCGTATCCCTCGCTCCCCGTCCTCCCCTTCTGCCCCCCATCTCACCATACTCCTCCTTTGCCTCCTCCGCTCCCTCCTCATCATCCTGCTCCTCGTCCTTCTCTCCCCCCTCCTGCTCCTGCTCCTGCTCCTCCTCCTCCTCCTCCTCCTCTTCCTCCTCCTCCTCCTCCTGCTCCTCTTCCGCCTCCTCTTCATAGTCCCACGCTGCCACCTAGCCAGCCGATGGCGACCGATTCCGGGCTCTTCCATCAGACGTGTTTTATGTTTAATCACGTAAAAGCTCGCTTTTATGTTTAAAAAGTCTCTTCTGCAAAGCCATGTATCTATGAAATAGTAAGCTATATATCACACAAAAAATTTCGTCTCGACATGGACGTTCTGCCGTCCATGCTGCAACAGGCAGGGCGGGCGGGCGGGCGGGGCGCACAGCCCGCGCCAGAGGCCGAAGCGTCGCCCTCGCCACGGCACCGCGCCCACTGCTCTAACGGAACTGCGCCTCCGCCGGGGCGGCGGCGCGCACTGCTCGCGCGCGCGATCGTCGACGCGCGAGCGGCCGAGGGCGTCGCCCTCGCGCGGGCGCCGCGCAGACTTCGCCCGAGAGCGGCGCGGCGCACACGCGTCACTCGCACATGTCGGGGGGGGGGCGCGCGCGAGGGGGCGACTCTGTGGCGCCCTCGCCCAAGTTGTGAGTCGGGCGCGTCGCTCTACGCGAGGAACCTTCCCACACACAGTCCAACAATAGCATGGGGACGATGTCTTGACTGTCTGTCGACCGTTCTGGAGCATGTTCTGGCTATGTTTTGTTTTTCTCCAAAGTCTGCCCGCAGGGGGGCATGCCCGACCTAATCCAAGTTCTGTGCGCACTTCGGGCCGGAAGTGGCGCCCCAGCGCGGGCGCGGTGCACGATTCGTCGTCCGCCGAGGCGCTTGGAGGCCCTTTGGGGGGGCCTCCTTGGGCCTCTTGGGGGGCTTTGGTCAAGGGTTATGTTGTTTCCATCGCACTTAAGGATCACATCCCAGAAGTAATTTCGAGCACCCAGAAAAGTATCGAAACAGTGTCGAACGAGTATCGCCTCCCAGGGCCCGACACGTGAACAACCTCAAGTTTCGGTATTTTCTTGGTGCTCGAAACTCTTTTTGGTGATCAAGGCTAAAGTAGGTTGGAACATCATATAAGTCAAGGAGGAAAACCACCCGGACCCGACACTTGGCGTTTGCTGAACGGCCCTGGGCGTTTACTGAACAGTCCTGCCCTGTTTGATTCCTTATTTGGGCGCGTTTCCTAAACCTCCTCGCGTGTCGGGGCGGTTATGATCGGGGTGGATGTTCTGCCCTCCATTTGGGTGGGGCTTCCTGGGAAGCCTTTTGGCCGTCTGACGACGTTCCTGGCCCGTCGGAAGCCGTCTTCGGAGCCTCTCTGGGCCCCTTGGGGGCCTTTTTAGGGGCGCTTCAGGGTCGTCTTGAAGGCAATCTTGGGTGTCGTGGAGGCCTCTCGGGACGTCTAGGGGCCCTTTCTTGGGAGCCTCTTGGGCCGTCTTGGGGCCATCTTGGAGGCCTACTGGACGACCTTGGGGCAATAGTGGGGGCCTCGTGGGCCGTCTTGGGCCGTCGGAGGGCAGAAAAGAAGGACTTGCCAAAACCCTAAAGAAACCAAATAAGCATATAGACTTAAATGTATACATATATATATATATATATATATATATGTACTTATACCTGTATATATACATAAGAAGCAATATATATATAAGAAGCGCTGCTTTTCGATGAACAGAACAGGTTGTTGCCTTTTTCGGGCCTTCCTGGAGGACTTCTTGGAGATTCCTCGGCCGCCTTGGAGGCCTCTTGGGAGCTTCTTGGGCCGCCTGGGCCCATCTGGAAGCCATCTTAGGCCGTGTTGAGGTCATCTTGGGCCGTCTTGGAGATATCGTTCCGCCATCGTTGGGCTCTCTCGGGGCCTTCTTGGCCGTGTTGGAGGCGTACTGGGGCCATCTTGGAGGCCATCTGGGGCCATCTTGACCGTCTTGGAGGCGATTTGGGCAACGGGCTCTGGATGTTGAGGAGCTTTCCGCGTGGCCGGCGGGTTGGGACGACGCCCCAGTGGGAGTCCCCCCCGGAAAAAAAGTTCAGCACGCGGCGTCTTGAAGGCCACCTTGGGCATGTTGGAGGCCACTTCGTAGGGCAGTATTGGGGCCCTTTGGGGGCCGTCTTGGGGGCCTCTTGGGCGGGCCTCTTGGGCCGTCCTGGAGCCATCTTGGAGGCCTCCTGGGCGATCTTGGCGCAATAGTGGTGGCCTCTCTTGCCTGGGACTCTTCAGCGCGACGGGAGCAATGGAGGAGGCGCGCTGGCATGAGGACTTGCCCGCAGCGCCTGCAGCTGACCCCCACACCGCAGCGCTGGACCGCCTGGGGAGCAACCAGCAGGCTATGGCGGCAGCCATGCAAAGGGTGCTGGGCAACCAGAAGAAGCTCACACGGCAAGCTCCCAGCCTCCAGCAGACCTCGGCCACGCAGGAGTGCCATTTCCGCCATTCCCGCCTGGCCAGGGCTCGCCGTCCTGGCAGACTCCTGCCCAGCAGCCTTGGGCCCCCCATGGCTCGGCACATGGGCCCACACAGCCCGCCCCCCGCAGACAGGGGGCACGGCTCTGAAAGGCTCTGGGGCGCCCCCGCCTCGGCACGGCCCGCGGGCGCCCAATCCCCTGCATCGGGAATGCATGCGTGCTGCGGCCACGGTGGGCGGCACCTTCCAGCGTGGATCCGGCTGCCCCCCAGCGCGGCGCAAGCTGCGCTGCAGAGTGGCACGCCCCCCCCCCCACCACCACCACCGAAGGGCCCGCCCTGGCCGGCAGAGGGTGGCCCTCCGCCACAGGGGACGTCTCGAGACGGAGGGGGCCCATCCGGCCGACGACGGCACCGCGCGAGCGCGGGCGAAGTGCCGACCTCGCCCGAACGCCGCGCAGCTTGCGAGTGAAGGTGGCAGTGCTGTGTCAGCGCGGCGCATGCTTCGTTTCTGTGGCGCCCCTCGGAAGTGTTGCCGTTCCCGCCCCTTTTCGCGGCCCGTGTCGTTTCCTCTTCGCCAAGTCGTCGGAAGCGGTGCCGCGCGAGCGCGCCTTCCGCTTGCGAGGTGGGAGCGAGTTCCAATCTTCCTCCTCCTCCTCCTCCTCCCCCTCCTCCTCCTCCTCCTCCTCCTCCTCCTCCTCCTCCTCCTCCTCCTCCTCCTCCAGTACCAAGTTGTGCCACATTCAATTATCATGTTACGGGGGGAGGATGGGAGTGGGCGGGGCCCTCTGACTCGCTCGACCTGGGAAACTGAACTCCCATTCCTACTCTTCTATTCTTCCAGCACATCACCAGCACTTCCGAAAAAAGCCTCCCGATTAAGTCTAGGAGCCCCCGAAGGACTTCTTTCGCCATTCGGGGCTCAAGCTCGAGAGCGAGACGGTCAGCGCCTCGGCTTAGGAGAAAGAGGAGGAGAAGGACAGGGGGGAGCGGAGGTAGGTTGAGAGTTCAGGACGGGGAGGGAGGGGGAAAGAGGGAGGAGGAGGAGGAGGAGGAGGAGGAGGAGGAGGAGGAGAAGAATGAGGAAAAAAGTAGAGGAGGAGGAGGAGAAGTAGGAGGAGATATGAGAAGAAAGGAGGAGGAGAAAATAGTGGAGGAGGAGGATGAGGAGCAGGAGGAGGAGAGGGACGACGAAAGAGTTTTAAGAAGTAAGACTGACGAGCAGACCGGAGCGAGGGAGCAAGGAGGAGGAGGAGGATGACGGAGGAGAAAAGGCGGAGGAGGGAGGAGGAGGAGGAGGAGGAGGGTAGGAGAAGGGCAGGAGGGGAAAGTGGCGGAGGAGGACGAGGAGGAGACGGATGCCGAGGCGGAGGCCGAGGCGGAGGCCGAGGCGGAGGCCGAGGCGGAGGCGGAGGCAAACGAGACAAACAAACAAACAAGACAAAACAAACATTGACGCTCAGCCATGCCGCCTCCAGCGGCGGGCGCCGCCCCAGGGCCCGCCGAGGCCGGCCCCGCTGGCCGGAGGCTCGCCGCACTCGCGGCGCATTTGCGCGCCGGCGCGGGCCCGTCGGAAGCCTGCAGGCCCCTTGCCCTCCTCCTACCGCCTCCCTCTCCTCCGCCACCTCCTCCTTCCCCTCCTCCTCCTCCTCCTTCTCCTCCTCATCCCCTCCTACCCTACTCCTCCTCACTCGTGCTGTGGAGGAGGGAAGGAAGAAGGAGGAGGAGGAGAGGAGGAGTTTGGCACGCGACTGTACCGTGGCAAAAGCAGGAGGTGAGGATGAGGGGGTTGGGTGAGGAGGATGTAGGAGAAGGAGGAGGAGGCGGAGGAGGAGGAGGAGAGGGAGTGAGGAGGAGGAGGGAGAGGATGAGAGAGGAGGAGGAGGAGGAGGAGGAGGAGGAGGAGGAGGAGGAGGAGGAGGAGCAGGAGGAGGAGGAGAAGGCGGAGGAGGATGAGAAAGAGGAGGAGGAGGAAGAGGGGGAGAAGAAGAAGAAGAAGAAGAAGGAAGAGGAGGTTCGGTTTCTAGGGTTCCCGACGTTTTCGCAGATTCCCGGCGGCCTCGGTGTGTGTGCCAGCAGCTGCGCCTCGCTGAGAGCGCTCTCGGGGTGTCCGGATCGTCCCGAGAG